CCCTTTTTCAATACGGCCTATTTTAGGCCGTTTATACCGCGCGTGCAACCCCGTAAGTAACCGGTAGCTTACGGTATTTTGCCAAGCCGCCCCAATGCCCGGCAACGCTTAAAAAAACCGGTTATAAAGCTTTGTAACATTCGAAAAAATAGGTTCGTACCGGCATATAAAAAGCTTTTTTTCCCGTTTAAAGCTACAAGCCCTTTTTTTTCCTTTTTATGCATTTAACAACCATTTTAATAATTTTAACGATTGTAATTGTAAGTAATTGGTATTTGGCCGTTCCTTTTAAACATTTAAATTTAACCGGTAGTTGCAAATGTTATTTTTTGTACCCAATTACGTAAAAAAGGTAATGTTTTTTCGGGTATTCGCTTTGGGTTTTTCGGTCCCAACCGGCCCGTTAACCCTTTTTAACAACCCCCCGATATCCTTTTTAATTATTATGGTTTAGTTAAATTCGGATTCGGTTTTACCGAAACTTTTAATTTTTTAAATCCTTAACGATCGCTTTGCTAATAACCTTCCGGTAAGCCTTTTAAATGTTGCGGGTTTATCGGGCCCTTTTGCGTTTGTAACCTTTTAAAATTCCCGCAAACGTTTTGCCGGTAACCCCCCGGCGGGCTTTAACCGCCGCGGCAAAAAGATTTTTGCCGAAAAAAAGCGTAAAGCGCGCAATAAACGCCGCCGTAACGCTTTTAATTTTAATAAATTTGCTTTTAAAACGGACATTACCTTTTCTTCGCTTTATATAAGTATTTGCAACGCGTTCCCGTTGCAAAAGGTTATCGATTTCTAATAAAGCAATAATTAAAACCTTATTTGTTTGCCCTTTTTTAAAAACAATTATACGGAGCGTACGGTATTTTGTAACCGTTATTTTGGTCGTTAAGCATATTAAAACTATGCCGTTAACCCCCGTATGCCGATATGCTTCGATAATTGTACGGGGTTTTTTAAATGTATTTATTGCAAAAACGTGGTCGGTAATAAAGCTTGCGTTAAATTTCCCAAATGGTTTTAAAAAATGGCCCAAAACCTTTACAAAATTTTAAATACCGTTTACAAGCAATTGCCCAAAACGATACCAAAACTTTTCGAAAAGCTTATTAAAGCCCAATTTCGCGCCCGCAAAGTTATTTAAAAAGCCAAATCCTTTTATACCATATTGGCTAAATAGCTTGCGCGTTACAAACGTTAGGCCGTTATCCAAAAACGCATTTAACGCAAAACTGCTAGCGCTGCAACATTAAAAGCTATTTAAAACATTTTTTAATAATTTTACGCCATTGCCGTTTAAACAAAAAAGCAAATTTAAGCTTTAGCTAGTATCGGTAATTCTTTTAACAAGGTAAAGGCGTTTTTTAAACGTTTCGAAAAAAGTATAATTGCTTTTTTTAATGGCATTGCCGCTAGCTTTGCTACAATTGCGGTGCATTTAAATACCCAAGCTTACAATCGCGCGGTTCCCCGTAAGGGTGCGGCGTCCGTATTAGCGCCGGGAAATGCCGCTTTCGGCGCTAACGATTTTAGCGGCAACGATTGTAACGCTAGCAAAAAAAACGTAGTTTCCGGAAATTTTGGTTCCTTTAAATACGGCATTTAATCGATTTTTTTTACATATTTTTTTAATTAATTATTGGTATTCCTTTTTCGAAAAATGATTAATTTTAAATCTTTTTCGTTAATTTGTTACAATTAAAACCATAATTTCCTTTCGTTATATTGCTTTTGCAGCATTGCAAAATTCCGGTATCCATATTTACTAGCTAGGCTTTAATGCTTAATAAATAATTTTAAAATGCTTTTTTTTCGCCCCCTTAATGGGTTTAAATACCGCCGATATGCATTTACCGTTACCCAAACGCTTAAGCCCGTCCGCCATACCATCCGGAAATTTTTCCATTTTTTTTTCGGGCAAATAATAATATTTTTTACTATAACGTACGTTTAAAATGCGGTAATTGCTTTAGCGTATTGCGCTAAGCATGCCTTTTACGGGCTTTTTAAAGTATATTATACCTTGCATGTCCTTCGAAATTTAAATGTATTGCATTATTAATTTAAAACGTTTTCCGTACTATACCGTTTTTACTTAACTTTTTGTTTATAAAGCACGATATTTTACGGTTATTACAAACCGTTTACGGGTTTTTTTACGTTTTTTTCCGGTGGTTAACCGGTTCGGCACGTTAAAACATTTTTTTGGGCCATTTTTTTGGCTTTTATTATTTTTTTTTATAATACCCCCGTCCTTTCCGGGTATTTACCCGTTAAAATTCGGTATTTTCCTTATTTTATAAATTTGCTTTTAATAAATTTGCTTTATACGTTTAAACAATTTTTTTCGTAATATCCCTTTTTGGAATTTACAAATTTTTTAATTTATCGTAATTTATCCATTTAATTAAGTATTTTCGTTTCCGCAAAAGCTTTTTATATCCTAACAAAGCCTTTACTTTAAAACGATCCTTTTTTTTTTCGATTTTGGTTTTTATTTTTGG